GAAATTAAATGAAGGGCCCATGAGAATAGAAACTCCACTTGGGAAGGAGATACTAGCAGCATGTGTTCCTGTTTCACAGATGTAAAAAGCAAAGCCCTTTGTCTTACCAAAGAGCCAGGACTAACTATCCGTTATTGGGACAGCAATTCACTGAAGAGTTTTGAGAATCACTGGGACACAGGGAAAGAAACTTGAGTGTACCAGGAAGACTAGTCCATTGTTTCAAATTTAGACGAGAGAGAGAGAGAGAGAGAGAAAGAGAGAGAGAGAGAGAGAGAGAGAGAGAGAGAGAGAGAGGAAATTCAGGTATGGTGGTAGTTCGTCCAAACAGTAGGGATGTTGAGGCAGGAATGGTTTGCTGTGTCAGAGGTCAGGCTGGGTTTTAGAGTTTGGGCTAGCTTGGGCTACAGTGTAAGATCCTGTTACAAAAGGAAGAAAAGGAGAAGAACTGGCATAAATGAAAGGGAGGGTAGCAAACTTACTGAAGAGAATGGATCCCAGTCACCCTCCTCCCCCGCGAGACTGGCATCTCTGGAGCCATGGGCACAGAGAATGTCCACAACAGACAAAACGCCCTTTAAGTGACAGTTACAACCTACGCAGAAATCCAAAGCCAAATGTCACCAGCCAAGCTTTCTCCTTCTTTAGAAGAAGAGACTGACTTTGAAAGCATTTTCCTTTATTCCTGTGCTATCACAAGCACACCGCAACCTACCCCACTCAGGCTCATACATGTTTGTTTTAGCACTGGACTAAAGTTAAGAGACTCCCCTGTCATTACTTTTTTAAAGCAGTACCACAAAAAGAAAATAAATTATAACCTAAATCCAAGGATGCATTAAAATAGTTCCCTTTCATTTTCAGAAGGGAAGGAAAAAAAAAAAAAAAGCCCTGACTTTTATGTGAACTTCAGGGTTAAAGTTTCCATAGTTCTTGGGGGGTGGCAGAAGAGAATGTCCAGGTATTAACACAGTTCCCTTGGCCCTGTGCTAGCAAGCTGTATAAGAACAAATGCTATACTGAAATCACACTAACTTCCTGAGACAAAGAGCCAAGAAAGTTCAATACAATCCACCGCACACTAAAGTTACCTTTTGAGAAACCCTCAAATAAAGCACGTCAGCCTTGGGCTTCTCCATATTAATTAACTGGTGATTTTTTTTTAAACTATGCCAAAACCTCAATCCCCATTCTTTGTAGAAGATTAAGAGAATAAGTAAATAAATTAATTAAAAGCAATGTAGAAGTTTATGCATTTAAATTCTAGTCAGAAGATAATAAAATGCTAACCATATCTGTTTTAATGATCTCTCTCCTTAGCAGCCGGGCTTCTCTAAACCCAAGGGTAATTCAAAGTCTTTGCCCAAATCAGCTTGACAGGCAGCTGAAAACTCATCCATTCTCACCAGGGACACAAAGGCAGAGGGCAGGAGAGGGGTCCTGCACTCTCCTAAAGGAATTCCGCCAGGATTAATTCCCTCCTGAGATAGAACGAGCTAACTCCTTCAGAGATGAAAAAGTACAATCTATACATATTACCTTACAAGACTGAGCAAGGACCTTGTATTGGAAGTTAAACTCCATAGAGGATTCTTAGGGCTTTACACCCCATACCCCGAGTCCTTTAAAAGAGGCCTTAACCCTATTCCTGCTCTAACAATAATCCTGTCTGGTCTGTACTACACATATTGCACTCTGTGGTTAGGATACTACGCAAGATATAAACAGGGTCAAGAAAGCCAGTGTGGAGAAGAGCTGTGTTTAAGTTAGCGTTAGCCAGCAAGCTTCCCCCAAACAGAAAAGGAAAGAATCCCCATGGCCAGAATTGTGTCTACAGAGTAACTTTAACACACACACTCAAAAGGCACCACAAGGCCCTGTGTCACCCATGAGCCTCATCCATTTTTACCAAATTAAGTTTCCCAAAAGGAAGCTATCATTCATTTGGAGGGGGTGAGAGGAAAGAAATGACACACAGATTGTTCTAGAAGATTTGTATACCAACATTAAGTACGCTGGCAATGGTGCCTCATAACCTACTAGCCCAGGGTTGACAACAGAAAGGAAAGAGAACACACATTCAATCATTCCTCAAACATTTCCCCTCCCTCTGCTTAGGGCTATGACTTGGGGTCTTCATCCATCTTGGGTGTAAATAATGCTGAGCCATAACTCCTTAAAGTGACATCCAGGCCTTCTTCATTACCAAGGTCCCTGACTACAACCACTGCTGATAGGTCCTCACTGTCCCCACTGATCCTTTAAGTCACACACTATTCTTCAAGCTGTTTGTCTCCCCAACACAGATGGAATTTCAGGTTCTGCTCCCCAGCCTACCAAGGTTCTCAAGACTTCTCCGTCACCACATAGTGAAGCAATATAACACACATACACTCTTCACTATCTAAACCACAGATATCTGTATTTTCCACCTTCTGCACTTCAGCTTTTTTCAGAACTTTCTTCTCATCTTCTTCATATCTGTTACAAGAACTCAGTGGCTGTTTGTTGAAATAAAATCTTCTCCCAACATTCTAACACATCCCTAACAGATATATAAATACTAACACAATAGAGGCTTTGGAATTATCATTCTTTGCAATGAGTAAGAAACCAGATAGAAGATGCTGACTTAGTCGGCAAATCCAGAACTGACTTACATGTCAGTTTTTATGACATCATCCTTCATCTTGAAAGTAGATCATGTCCCTCATGTGTAGGCATGATGATACCAAGGAAGGTATCATCCTTGAGAGGGAGGAAAGAAGAAAGAAAGGAATGTGAGGGAAAGGGAAGTAAAAAAAAAAAAAAGAGGGTAGAGAGGAAGGAGGAAGGCAAGGAGAAAGGGAGAAGGGGATGAAGCGAGGCAAAGAGAGAGGGGGTAGGGCTGCAAGGAAGAAGAAACGGAGGAGGAGGGAGGGAAGAGGGGGAGATAGAACAAGGAGGAATGAAGAGAAGGAAGGCACAAAGGAGGGAGAGACTGAGGCCAAACCTTAAGCACAGACATTAAAAATTTGACCTTAAACTAAACTTCTAAAGACATTATTAGTCTAACAGTTGTACCTTCCCAGCTACATCAGCATGGTGCAAACTGTTCAGAGTACAAGTTTTCATACCAAGCATCTGAAGTGATCTTTTTTTTTTTTCCTAAAAATCACAATTTTCAGGCTAAACGTTAAATCGTGTACTCAAAGACTCGGAGTCTAGGATTTATTCTTCCCCAGAATGCCCCACTAGGTCAAACAACAGATTCTGTAAAAGCCGACTTCTAAGATACAATCTGAAAAACAAAATCAATTACATTCGGGAGAATACATTGAATGAAAACAGAAGTCTCTGAAACGCTGCCACTTAAATTTCCACTTCTGTGATTTCTTCCCCTTCATTTACGGTAACGCTGAGCTTTGGATGTCGGCAGCAGCTCCCCTGCGCTGAGGATGCAAAGGGCAAGATGGGCAGGAGGGTGATGCCTAGAAGAGGTCAGACTGCAAGGGCCACTTAAACCTGATGTCAGTTTTAAGCAGCCTCCCTCGTTTGTAATAAAAAGGATGCAGAAGAAAATATTGCTAGTCCCCTCGTGGGCAAAGAAAGAAAAGCACTAGAGAAAACCAACTCCAGCTTTAGATCCTTCCCTCCAAGCAACCTGATGGCTTCCTGATGGCTCCTTTAATTCCATGTTCTTTCTGTTGCCCTCCCATTTCCCCCACTAGACTAATTCTTTCTCTTCAACTCCAACTATCCTATCATGGAGGAATCACCCACCAGCAGCTCCCAGTTAATGGGAAGATGGACAGAACAGCAAAAGTCATCCTACCCATTCATTTTCCGGATGAGGACACCAAGACCAGGAGCCTAGAATCGGCTCAGGTTGCGCCGCTAGGGGACGCTGTGTACAGGGGGGCTCCGATGAGGAGGCGCAGTTCTGCAGCCTTTCGGCCTCAAATCGCTTCCCTTTCTTTCTATAGTTCTTTCCTCAAATTTACACTAAGCCCAAAGAAAAGGAAAAATTAAATTAAGTTAAAAAATACCGCTTTCGCATACCTAGAGCCCTGGTGGTTATTATTCATGATGTTCCATCTGGAGAACCAAAGGCAGAAACTGGATGCTAATACAGCTGTGTGCTCATGCAGCTGACTGTGGCGCGCACGGCCTTAAGCCTAATGTTGACTCCTTTTCCTTGGTATTCATTCCATCTGACAAGAGAATGTGTTCTTCCGTTTTCTAAGACTTTGAAACCCAGACCTCTGACTTCATGTTAGGTGAGCAAAGGACACTTACACAAAAGGACAAACAGTGCTGCAGGAAAGACTAGAGGATCCTGCTTCAGTAACTAGCTACCTTCTCCTACTTGCAGTTAGCAATAGGTACCTATGGTGGTGGGTATAGCTTAAGAGTGAAACTTTTCACAAGCCAGTACTCGCTGGAAACCTACATGGAGGAAAGCGCCGTAGATTTCAACTAAAAAAAAAATAGGAAGAAAAGAAAGAGCAAAAAGAAAGAACGCAAGCGAAAGGAAGAAAGAAAGAAAAGGGGAGGAGAGGAAGAAAGAGGGACTGAGAAAAGAGACAATCTAGGGCTCCAGGCTGGAAGCAGCAACAAGCCCTGAATGCCGCACATCAAAGGCCAAATGGCAGCAAAGAAAAACAAGCATAAAGTTTAGAATTATCCACAGTAAACTCTCCCTACAGGAGCAAACAGCCGATCAACCCATCCACGCAGAGCCAGGTCCCTCCCCTGACTTGCATTTCCCCCGGTACTGGCTGGGCGGCTTCACGGAAACTTAAGTTTAAATTCCTTAGACTCAAGGGACGACAAAGTCACTGGTGAGTAGTGAGCTGAGCCTTGGACGCAGGGACACCCGGGCCATCTAAGTCCTCGGGGACGCGGCGCCAAGGAACTTGAAGCGCCCCTCACCAGCCCTCTCACGCCCCTAACTCCTACTAGGTAACTAACCGGAGGCCACCTACGTGTCACTCGGACAGCTCTTAGGGCGCACTGACCTGGCCAAAGGGCAGGAGAGCCGCCCGGGCGGCTGTGGCGACTTCCCTCCGGGCTGGGTTCCACAGGCTGGTGCGGGAGGCCAGGGCAGCCTCGCCTCCTGCAGGCGGCCTTACACACGCGCGCACACCCATCCACTCCGGGCCCGCGGGCGGCCGGGCGGGAGCGCGCACTCACAGGCGCTCACGCGCACGGCCACAAAGCCGCGGGTGGTGGGAAAGCGCGAGCCGATCGCGCCGATGGGAGGCGGGGCCGTCGCCACCCGCGCCAGGGGACACCGAGAAGCCGGCGTCTTTACCGGCGAGGTCCAGCTCCGCAGTCCCCGCAGCCTCCGGGCCAGCCCAACCCAAGCCTCACCCGGGCAAGGCCGGGAGGCTACCCAGCGCAGAGCTGCTCTAGAGGACCAGAGTCACAACTCCCGGGGCGTCACTGCAGCCCGGTACAGACTTCCCGAGTTCGGGGAGCAAGCAAAAGCGAAAAGGGTGCGGGTACCAGCCTCCTTTGCCTCTCCGCCTTCTGGCGCTTTCTGCCCCATCCACGTAGCACAAGTCGGCAACTCCCCGCACTCCCAGGCGCCTTCCCGCAGCCGCTCTCCTTACCTGCGTGGCACCCCCAGCGCCCCTGCCTCCTAGGGTCCCCTCCCCCAGTCATTCACTGAACTTCCCGCGCTGCTGCAGGGCGGGGGGCTGGGGGCGGTGAGGGGAGCTCTCCCCCCCCCCCCGCGACCCTCCACATCAGACACACCCACCTCGGTCACCCCTGCCCCCTCCTGCGCTCACCCCTGCGCCAGGCCTCTTTCAGAACTTTGGTAGACTTCCTGCACTACGTATTTTCGACTTTTCCCTCCTCACGTGGAAAGGCCCAGAAAACATCGCGGAGCCTTGAGGAGTGGGGAGGGGGAGACTTGGTGTATGGCCTCCTCCTAGTTGAGTTTCTCAACTTTTCTGAAGTTTCAACCAGCACGGCCCAGGACTTCAGTCCATAAAAAAGAAATGGTTGGCTTTGCAGCTGAAAAGGTGTATGAGTCTCTGTGTCTTTACAACTGCAAATCAAAGCGAGTATGGCTTTGTGCCCCTAGATCTATGATTATAAATTTCTCTTCCGCTCTCCTAGTGTAACTTTGCCAGGGCAAACTATGATTTCAAGGAGTAATTAAGGGCGGGGAAAGCACACCTGGAGGTGTGGGCGGGAATAGAGCCTAGGAATTGTTTTCTGCAGAGTGGCAGCCCTGCCTGCCTGCCGCCTTACCATCACTCAGTAGTACATACAGGAGCAGAGAGGGGACTCTCCAGCCTTGTCATGCCACCCACCTGCTCCACACTCCAGGCGCAGGGTTTCAGGAGGCCTCAGAATGCCCTGCTGAAAGCACAGCTGAGAATTCCACACATCAGAAGCAGATGCCTCGGAGAAAAGCCTGAGGGACATCTAGGGTTGTAGAATGGCAGTAAAGTCAGGGCTGTAGCTGATAGGGAATGAAGGGCAGTGACGCAGTTGGTCGCCAACCCTTTGCTTTGTAGAAAGAGGTCTCTGCCAACAGCGATGGGCAAAAGCCAATAAGACGCTGGTGTTTGGATAGTTTGCAAGTTTTCAGCAGGTTGTGACTTGCAGGGACCATGACCATTTTCTGTCAGTGGTTTATCACAGTACTCAATACTGAAGTGTAAAGTTGGTCATTTATTATCCAGAACTGTTTACTTTTAAGAACTATCGTTCAAACCTATGTAGCCATGATGGCTCTCCCCTGTAATCTCAGCCCTGGGGAGTTTGAGGCAAGATGAAGAGTTGCAGGCTGACTGTACTACATGGCCAATACCAGGCTAGCCGGGGCAATACAGCAAGGTACCCTCTCTCAAAAAACCAAAGTGAAAAACTGTTCAAATCTCTTTTTTGGAGACTCTGCTTTCAAAACTCATTTTATACCAATTTATGACTTATTTTATAATTATCTACTTAAAATATAAAAATTACTCCTAATTACTGCTAGTATTTTCAGGCCCAACATCAACTCTGTTATTGACAATGAGCAGGAACAGCCAACAGGGCAAGGTGTGCTGGAGGTACAGAGGTGCCTAGTGAGTCCCAGGCCCCGAGCTTGACCCCCAGCACTGCAAAAGGAAAGATAACCTTCTAACTAGCCAGCACTACCCACCACAGCTAACGATAGGTGATCTTAAACTATTAGGAAGTTGGGATGAATAGGAAACCATCACATATTATACAGATATAGTAAAGAAAGGGGTTTATACACTTTACCTATAGGACTAGTAAACTCTGAATATGTAGTGCCTAATTTTCTTTCTCTTACTTTTCACCCCACATGTTTAGTTTCTCAATTACAATACTTTTATATCTAATGAAAAAAAATATTTTAAAGTGATTCCCATGAGTAACCATTCCTCACAATTAAAGGCACAAGGTAAAAGAGGTTCTCTTAGCTTGCACTCACCTTGAATAATTTTAATATGTTGGTTTCATCTCTCGCCTTCTTGAAGAATGTAGTTGCTTCTGTCCCAACTATGCATTAACTACTTCAACTACTCTCTGCTCCTCTTCAACCTCAAACGGGGGTGTCTGTCCTCATTAGACACATGTACTCACCAGTATATCGGGAGTGAAAAGATGTACCACAAGAGTACATGACTAGCCTAGCTTGTGCTGTGTTTGATTCCCACTGCCACACACACACACATACACACACAAATATGCACACACATATACTCATACACATATGCACATACACACATACATATATTACATACATACACAAATGCCCAATACACATGTATGTGCAATACATACAAACAAATGTCCAGATGCACACACACACAAGTTACATGTTTTATCTGTTCCTTGTTCCACCTACCATAGCCGAAAATGAAATAAACAAGAGGACTGCTGGACAGACCTGTCCTGCTGACAAGCAAAGGCCTGTCTTTGAGACTGCTCTGCAGCCAGCTTTAGGTCAACAACCAGAAGTAGGTTAGGTCCTGCACAAAAGAGAGACGATGAGATACAGTACAACAATAGTGCAAAGCCCGAACTAAACCATCGAAACCAGTTTGAACTGAGGTTCAAGTTTGTAAAAACAGGATGGCAACTGTGCACTGTGATTCACAAAGTTCCAGATTGTCTTGTTTCGGGTTTGTGTGATGTCTAGATGCAAGATCTCACAATGGAATCCAGGCTGTTCCGAAACGCACAATGTAACCAAGGCTGCCTGCTCTCAAACTCTCAGCAATCCTTTAGCCTCCCTAGTGCTGACATTACAGGCTTGAGCCATGCTCCAAATGCTCTTTATTAGTGACAAAGTATTTAATGAGTTCCTTAAAACACTAACATCTATGATGTTTGGGTGTAAATAAAAGAGGATGCTAGGCACTATTTAATGTCTCTCTGGAGCCCTCCTTTCGTTCAGACTTTGTCCTCCTTCTTCTGGATGGTCACCCTAACACCCTCTGCTCTGAACAGCCTCTCCTGTGCTCTGCCAAGCAGCATGTTTCTGAATGTGCTTTTTCAGGTGACTCCAGCAGAGGGAAAAAAAAAAAAAAAAGCCAAACAGCTGGTGTTGTCAAGCATGAGGGAAAAACACTAACAGCAGCATGGGAGGAGTGCTGAAACTTACAGGTTCAGTGAAAAACCCATCTGAGAGGAGTGACAGAGTAGGGCACCTGATGTCATGTGGCCTCCACATATATGTGTGCCTGTGCATAAAGTGTACACATTATCCAGTGGTTCAAAAATTGTAGACAAAGGAGCACTTACTGGGGTTTGAACAGTTGTCTCTCATTTCCTTTGATGCTGCCATCTGTTCAGAAGGGTTTGCTGCTCTTCCCCCTCGTTCATTTCACCCTGCCTCCCTAAATTCCCTTCCATCTGGGGGTAGAGGAAACCTACATGCTAGCAGCCACAACTATCAGCTTAAAGATCTGCTGGAACTTTCCCTCCCCTCTTTAATGTAGAGACTGATTCGAGAACATATTTTAGGAAATAGTATCCTTTGAGGTTTCAGCCTGACAGCCTGGGTGTTTTTCCCATGGGCGTGGGGCTTGTCCCTAAGGAAACTTTCTATTGTAAAAGGCTAGAGGCAAAAATGGGTGGTGTAATCTAATTTACTAAAGGAAAAAAAAAAAGTAACTCTCTTTAGAAAAGAAATGACCAAAGGAGACTCCAGGAATGGGCACTAGAAACTGGAGCTTCCTGGAGCGCACTAGGGCAGCAAGAAAACTAAAATCTGAAACAGAGTGACCATGCATTTACCTGTATCTTATCACATATCTCTGTGTGAATAACTCAAGTAATGTGGGAAGCAGACAACTGGCTGATAATCTCCTTCTCTCTGCACTTCTCCTCGTCTAGCTGAAACAGCAAAGATCTACTAGCAAGGGAAGGCAAAGAAACTTTGATACAGGTGCATGCATTGTGCGGACAATTTTAGAGCTAAAAGTAGACATTACTCTCTATTTAAAAGAAATTGTCAGAAAGGTAGACAAAACAAAATATTACTACATAAATCAGTAGGAGAATAGGAACATTTTTGGTAAAACCGACAAAAAAGAAAGAAGAAATAACTATGAATATGATGATTTCAATTACAGTTTTAGTAGAATTTTTAAACTAAAAATAGAGTGATCATTAAAAATCTCAAACTAAAAAATAGAAAAGGAATATATTTAATTAACTATTAAGTAATTTGAATTCCTGTTTTAAGTTTTACCCACATAAAAGACCAACATTTTGATGACTATGATTGACCATATTCACATGCAGATAATCTCAAATGATTTCAAAGAGCTAAACATGGTGGTGCATGCCTGCTACCCTAGCACTCAGGAAGCTTACGGAGGAAGATCACAAGTTCAAGGCCAGCCTAGACTATGGCGTGAGATCTGTCTCAAAAAAAAAAGTTTCAGAGGACAAAAGAAAAAAACACCTCAATAATTTTATGAGCTACTAAATTTCATTGCTAAAATTAAACAGACATAAAGATAGGCCAATCTCATAAAGGATAAAACTGTAAATTCTATGCATAATGCTGTCAAACCAAATTCAGAAATAGGTTTTAACTTAAACATATGAGGTTAACACCACAAATGTGAAGCTAGTTTCCTTTTGTAGTGA